TATATTGTCAAATTTTTTATCGTGTTCTTCCTATTTTTATTTGGGATATTTTCTGAGCGCAGATAACTGCGTTTTTAGATAAAAAATCTAACTTCCTCTAATAATTCTCTAAACTTCAATCTCTTTTCTATGATCAGAACATAAAAATCGAATGAACTTTTCCTCTAGCTTCGTTAGCTGATTCGTGAATCCTCCAAGTACTCTTCCTCATGTTTTCACGTTGATGATGAATCAAGTGATTTATTTCATCTTGACTTTGCCACCTGGAATGCTATTCTTATCTGATCAACTGCAATTTTATTGAAAGGCCTTACTTCTTTTATACAACTACATACTTATTTTAAACACCACTGACAAATACACTGCTTTACTTCATTTTTTAATAAGCTACTGATTTTTTTAGTATGTATATTTTATTTAGCGCCTATTTTAACTAGTGAAAATCTTTAGTATATGGAGTACTTATGTATATGAATAATACTTCGTAGCCAACCAAAAGGCTGCTTTTTTTATGTTTATTTGATCTCTTAAGTAAATTAAATGAACCGAACGTATTAGTAATCAAAATGTATCAGTTATCTGTTTGTGCAAAATCATGAAGTTTAAAGCGTAAGACTCGTGGTTTTAGATATTACTTGAGGAACGCATGAATTTTACACTTAAAAAGTGGCTCGAGCTGGGCTGATAAAGCATATTCATCAATTTTTTAAATTTCCTCTCAAAGCATTTGTAGATACTTCTTGACTCTTGCCTTGAAGATCTTGACATTTTTAGGTATAATGTTCCTCCATAACTTAAAAATCCTTCCAGCAAGTCTTAGCACAATCCACTTCTCTTCATTCTTTTCCGGCCTAATTTATTGAAAGAATACCTTTTGTCCTCCCAACAATTTCATTTACATTGCTTTTCTTATTCGGCAGATAAATCAATTACTGTTGATTGCGATTAATTTTTGCGCTCTTATGGCATTGCTTATTCAAAGAAGGCCTACCATCTCATGCAGGAGAAATTCTAAACGTTTGACTATTGAAAAGGCCTGTTAATTCTGATATTTCTTTTTGAAATGTATGGTGTAAAAAGAACATCAATCGCAATGGCCCAAACTTTGAAAGTTTTCTGGCTTTGAAGATCGAATCAGCTATTGGCAAGATATTTGGTATATAACATATCTATATAAGGAGCTGGATGAGCGAATTTGGAAATGAATTGACAATTAATTAGTGTTCAGAGAGTGGATAGTTTTTTAACAAAGAGCGGCTTATCTAGACTTACCCTTAATTTCGATAAATCTTTGGTTATTTTGGCAATAAAAGCACCTAATAATATATACACTTTGAAGCGTGTCTAGCCTACTAGGTCAATCGCTTTACCCCGGTTTAAGACATTCTAAGCTTAAAACTTTAGTAAACTTCCAATGTCTTACTTAGTAAATAGTTTTAAAGTCATAAAAATGTACTGAATTTTCACTATATATATATATATATATATATATATGGGAAAATATTAATCAGAGATCCTAAGTAAAAGTCCACTCCAGATTTATTGAGAAAACTGGATATACATTTAGAGTCGATCCTGTATTACATTTAATTTTGCTTTTAGATAAGGCATTGAGACACGTACAATAAAATCTGTGGACAGACTAGGCAAAAAGGTTAAAGAGGTCTTATCTATCATAAGGGTGTTTAACCTGGAGTTCGGGTACGCTTTGAATTACGTTTAGCCAGAATTGCCCGGACAACGCTTCAAAACAGTTCAGGAACTTTAAGCAGAGTAGGTAAATCATATTAAGGCCTTGTGAACTCAATACTATAATCCGTTACTGAATTATTCTGGCGCAATCCCGCTTAGTCTACCATAAGGCAGCAATCTTATGTCTCATATAATAGTTTTGGACACTAGAATGGCCTCTTCAAGGTGACAAGTCTGAAAGCAGCGTCTCATGTCAAGCTTTAAGCAATAAATGTGAACGTTTTACTAATTAAATTTTTCTACTCAGCGAACACCCTTTATTCATACAAGACGAATTTGATAGCCTAGGCGACACGACATTCTGGGTGGCAATAACTGTGGAAAAACCAGAGTTCCACTAATCTATTAGCCTATTTTCTTAATGAACTGGACTCCTTACGTATACTTGTAAGCCCCGCAGAGATGTAGGGGGGCTTATGTTGTATCGGCTGTCTGCTCACCATCAACGAACATTTTACATAATAATAATAATTATTGCGGCTAATTGACAGGCATTCAAAAAGTTGCCTCAAAAATTCCAGAGGAAGATAGGTCTTTAATGGCTCTGCCACATTATCAGAATAAATATAGAATAATTGTTCCAGATCCTTAATTTTGGCGAGCTATTTAAAGGCAAGGCCCCAACCTAGGACAATGGTGTGATGAAAAGGCTTGGTTAGTATCCCCTTCATAGATCTATCCTGGTAGAACACTGGCCACTGATATTACATTTTACTACTATATAAAATATGGATGTGATCAGCGTCTCGAATGAAAGAATCTCATTATGCCTTTTCACATGCTTCAGATCACGGGTCAATGTACAAACTTCTTCTGAAGACCCTTGGTTTTCGACCACTCACGAGGGTTGGCGAAGTGCCTCATGTAGATTAGTTGAGAAACCACAAGTGCTTAAATATCATATTATTTTCTGTTTGCTATTCTCAGCACTAAATAGATTTAACAATAGACATGATATTCTTTTTATCTTGACCATAATGATTTTCATTCAATAGCCGTGCTGTGGATGAATAGCTATCAGAATTTTGTGCTTGTTCGGTCTTCTAACATTGATAACTTTAACTGATATCCAATCCCATCCTTACTAGACCATAAAACTAGTGAGGCCTCTATAATGTATACTTTAATAAGACTCTTGATTTCTCTGCATTATTTTCTGTCATACCAAGTCGTTTGATAAGGAATTAACTCCTACATACTATGCATATTTAATGCTCTTATTATCGGCTCTGAACTTCTATTTGCATATCTTTATCAGCATAATGATGATTTAATTTTTACTTATTTTATTAATTAATACATAGCATAGAATTAAATATCATTGCATTTCAATAGTATACAGACTCAATCGCAGAATACCAGAGCTGATAATCATTTGCAGCTTTCTGCTTCAATTGTTTAATTTCCGATCATATATCTGGTAACTAAGAGCCTATATTCACAACTTCTTTCCCTGTACTATGCAGATTTATACTTAATCATCTAAACGAATGTTAATAAATACTAATTAATTAATATAATTTTACATTTGCATTCGCATCATGCGCATTGCTACAGGTGGAGGCTTATTATTTTCTTCAATATAGCCTATAAGCTCATTAATTAAATCCCAGATTTAATCTGGTGTGCAATTAATGAATATTTTTTGTTATCTTTAGTTGGGGCCAAATATTATGCTTTATATGATTGAATGCTGTGTACCGATGACTATTTAGGCAAATTAGATTATCCTTAGTTTAAATTCTAAGCGAACTTCGTTCATGAGATCGTTGTACCTGGTGACTTTCCAAAGGGGCGTTGATCTTTAATACCGACTGCTTATACATGCCTAGCTCCGTAAGTGGCTTTTAGGCAGGTTCATACATTTGTCATGGCTTGAGGTGGCGTTAAGATCAGGGCATTTTTTAATAATCGCAAAACGGTTCGTTCCCTCTATGAAATGGTGAGATTCTACTTTAAGAGCAAACTCTGATCCGATCAATTCTTTAAGAAGCCTCCTAATCTCTTGCACTCATTCATTTTAAGGGTGCTATATTGCTGGTTGCCATACTAGAATAGTTTATATTTTTCTTCCACTAATTACTAAAATCTGCCAAATAAATAAACTGTTTTGAACTTAATCTCTCATTTTTTCCATTATTTTGAAAAATTGCGCAAAAATAGAGCGGCGGTCTCTCTGCTCGCATGGCGTAGTTGTTACCAGCGAAAGGTGCCGACTACCTCTCGGCCAGGTTGGCCCCAACCCTCCTAGGTTATCGGAAAACAATCAGGTTTTGCTTCCGCACCATCACTTCGCCAGACCTCCATCGATTAGCCCGGGTCTCTTGCCTCCTGGTAGTCTACCTTTGCACAGCATACCTCCTGACCTAAACCTGCCCCCTGGCTATTTATTGGTTGCAGTTCCAGCACAAAATATGAATGCCGCGGTCGAATACTCAGGCAGCAATGCAAATGTCACATCTAGGGAGATGGCGATGCCTGAAGTCCTATTAAAGTCGGTTAGTTCTGATGAATTACCAACTGGCGGAGCTCCACCATGTGAGTTTATGTTATCGTTTATTCAATATCACTGACTTGGTGATTGCAGCATTGTATAAAATGACTTTTACTTGATCTCTGAATTAAATACTCTCAAATTTGCATATAGGAAACATGCTAATAATGGTGACGAAAATTTTTTGCCGTCATTTGAACTCCTTCGATTCAAATAGGATTTTTTGTCTGGCAAATCGATTTTGGCTTACTTAGGTTTACGGGATTCTCAAAAAGTTGTGAAACCAAATAACGGACATGTCATCTGCAGCCACTTCTCTTATGTGCAAGCATGTGTGGGAAATATTACATAACTAGCCAAGTCGTAGAGTGCCTCAATGAATGGCCAGCGTTACGTAGGGTCACAGCTGGTCGCCATTCTTATTTTAGTGTTTGGTGAATTGTTCTAAAATTATGGTTTCATGCTATTACAATACCTGCCGCGGCTTCATCTGACTCGCGTAACGGTGCAATGTGGACTTCTTTTTGCGATTAAATAGTAAAAGCTTCAAGCCTATCCTATTTCTAGTGTTGGTTCGACCTTGTTTTCGCAGCTTGGTCGGAGCGTCAGGGAGACCTTGTGGAACGTACCTAGTCCCGTATCCTTTGCCATAGTATTCATGATTTCCAGTATTGGGCCATTGGCTGTATACATTCCAAAACGTTTCGCCGGCATCATCCGTGAGAGGCCCCATTGTAAGCATAGAATTACAACTTATCAAAGTGGCAAGTGAAAGCAATCCCTTTGACCAATTTTCTGTTTAACCGTTGTGGCATCACTCCTAGCCTCTATTTTTTGGTCTGCCTTCTAGTGTCGCATCTCCTCTCAACCCTACTTCACATGATCCATCCACTTATTCACACTATTATCTGCTCTCATTTCCTCCAAAGTCGCCTAAGATTGTGTCGCTACAAATGGGTTTATGGAAGCGTAATCATCACCACCGGTGCAGTTTGCAGGGTTCTTTACCTACATTCTACCCCCCTTTTTTCCTACCCGCTTGTCAATTGGCCGTATCCTGTTAATACTGTTTGGGACCATGTATTTGGCATATAAGCTTTAGCGGGCGATTCTATATTCAGATAATCTTCTGGATAGTTCGATAAATCTCCTTCACAGGGGCATTTCGGCAATGCTCTAGGTGAATGCATAACTAAGAACGGTGTTAATTCCTCTTTATTCATCGTTATAATGTTCCACCGTCCCAATAATTAATCTATCTTTTTCTAAAGCTGGTATAGTAACAGAATGCTTTATCTGCTTGCCCTAGCATAGATAACTGTTCCCCAATTTCAACACGAATCAGCCGATGCCTCCTAGTGAGATTGACCTACAGATCTCTTCATCATATACTTCTATACTAAATGAAAGTCTTCAAATCACTATCATTTTTAAAACTATATTCAAGTCAACGAGTCAAGAAAGCCTCTTCGAATTCACCAAACGTTTTAACTAAGTTCCACAATTAATTTCCCTCGGTTCCATTCACAGTATACATTCTGCTACATGTTTGAGATTGAACTAGAGTGAAATCAGTCAAACAATAAGCTAAGAAACGCACTCAAGTGACAAAAACGAGATCAGACCATTTATATTTGTCGAAAGAAGGCTGCGACCAAAATGGAGGCCACAACATATCTACAATAACTTTTTCCTGTAAAAATTAACGAAGGCAATTTATCGTATGTTTGTTCTCGGAAGTTAAAATGTCTTGACTTACTCAAATTTTAACACTCATCCTTATGTGGTTAATACAAAATTAATTGTATCCTTATCTTCATATTTTCTGCATTTGCATACGTTCTTCGGTCTTCTGTCAGCATACGCCGATGTACTCGCTTCTTCGGCCCATCGACCGGCTGGCATTTATAATGATCATCCTGTAGAAGCCATCGGCGTCATCCCCTCTGCACCATCTCACTCAAGCTTCTCGTCTTCCGCCTCCTCTGACACCCTTAAGATGGCTGGTATTGAGATCATCGGTAACAGCGGCTCGGCGATGCCAAACACTAGCGATACTCGAGCTGATCGGACTTTTTCTTATCCAGAGTCTTGTATCTCAAGCTCTTCTGCTTTTCCCAGCTCTTCTCGCTGATTTATTTATTCATTTAATTTATATTATTTTTACTCACCAACGACTATATACATATATATATGTTTAGTCGTATTGCCACATGTAAATTATTCTTTATTATTACATACATGCAATAGAAAGGCATTGAACAAATTAGAAGCCTTATTAATTTGCTGGCATATTCGCTTGTCCATGATTATCCCTCCCCATTTTACCTTAAAACAGGATGTATCTGTCACGAAGCCTTCCTTCTAGTTCAAAACCGTGTATAATGAGGATTAGCTTTGCATATTAATAGATTTACAAATATTTTGACATCTAAAATTTTCAGGCTCCGCATTGTTTTATTCACTCTTTTACTAGTTATTATATCCTTGATATTAAAAAAAAATGTTTGCGACTTGGTCGATTTCCTCAGATCAGCACTTAAAAGACTTTATGCTCCGACTTCCTTTACGATATCCTATAGTCAATTATTTTTGTATGTACTCCACCTTGTTTAACTTACATATTTATATTCTTCAGATTACATGCCCCACCAAATCATCTTATTTTGGGAATAATATACTCCTTATTTCAAACAAACTAGCTACAGTTTATCCTATCTTTTTTTTCCTCTTGCATACATCTCTACTAATTTTGCTAAAAAAAATTACGAAATGCTTTCCAAAACTCATCTCACCGTGCTCCATATTTTTGTTGGCATGGCCTATATAATTGTATAACTTTATTTTACTAGAACATCGAGTAAAGGGTAATTTCTTCCGGTGCTTGTAAGCAGTGCGATCAATCCAAATCGCCATTTGCTCTCTTTTCGTCATTATCTTCCGAATAATTTATAAACTCGTTTGCACAGGTCTTCTCTTGTACATTTTTATGTAATCGCGGAAACAGTTGGCATGCATTTTTAAACTCGTTTTAAGACCTTTATGATTTTAGGCTGTATAAAGAATATTTCTGTTTATCTTTACTTTTGAGCCCAGCTCTATAATAGATTTTCATAAAATATTAATCTATTAAAAATTAGGGCTTAAATTTTCATTCATTTTTTGTGCTAAAAATGGACTTTTCCCATACCCCAAGTTATGGACATTTTTTGGATTCAATTTTCTGCCTTGAACTTAAGCGAATTGCCCATTTAACTTTACAACTTCATGCGAAATAAATGCAGGCATTCCCTTAGTGCCGCGGACCTACATATTGCGATATGAGGAAGCTCACTATGCGTTTGGTTGTTGTGATGTATTATAGGTAGGATAAAGGTGAACAATTGCAGACGTCAGAATCTGTCATGATCCTTGAAAAGGTGGGTTTATAGTGGAATGGTGCACAAGTACAGTACATTGAGTTACGGTGCTGGGCCTCGATTATGCATTTTTTGAAATCAGTCCTTTTCTGGGCTAGGAATCTGCGTTTTCCTGGGTTAGATCTGCCGATCCATATGCTATACGTGAGTGATACACAGATCGATTTGAAAACGTATATAGTAAAAAATCTACTGGCCCCTTAACAACTACAGGCAGTATGTAGGGGTCATTGAATGGAGGTTGGCTTAACTATTTAGTTTGTTAAGTCTTCTATCAAAACGAGTCTAAGCATCGCGAATCACCGTATATCTAACTGCATAAAATGGTGGGTTCAATTCTGCAGTCAAAGGTATGTACATCAATACGGGTCAATAATGAACTGGAAATAAAACTAGGGTGAAATTGTCTTCGCCCTCATGAGCACACAAGCGGGATGCCAACCAGACCATCAGATGCTTCCATATGGATCAAAATTAGTGCTATAAATATTTGGTAGGCTTGCAACCGGTCATCTTGCTTTGCTATTTTTTCCGAAGTTTAGTTTACGGGTGATTTGCTCTGTTGCCGCTTGTCACAAAGCACACAGTAAAGTACAGCTTGGGTTAATCTTGGTTGGATGCCTGTCCACTGGGCACATCAAAATTGACGCACAACTACAGGATAATCTTCCTTTGGGTTCCGATTATACGAGATGAAGACTGACAATTATAGAGGGGCTGGCGCACAGGCGGCAATGGTTGCATAGTTTTAGCTATCTGATTGCTGTGTAATCAGATAATGCTGTAAACGGTGAAGGCTCATAGACAGCCAGACAGTGGTTTTAGTGTGTAGCATGGACCAATTCACAAGCGAGGTGAAAAGGAGGGGCTCAATGAAGGTAAGACGTTCTGCAAACGGCATCTGAAACAGGTGGTATAGGTGGTTTCGCTTCGCTTGTTGTGCCATTCGAGGAATGGTGTGAATAGGTAAATGAGCGATATGAAGTGTGGTTGATAGAAAGAGTTGCAGGAATGGAAAGTAGACAAGGCAAATAATGAAATTTTGATTTTTTGAGATTAGAATATTGATTTAAAATTAAATTAAATGCAACTTAAGAATATCAAGCGTAAAAATGTGGGTCAAGGCAAAACTCCTCATAAGCTTGCTGGGCCTACTTTATATACAAGCGAAACGGAATTTCGTACAGCAGATAAGCGAACTGGAATCAGCCGAGTGGGATGGCCCTGTCTTGCACGAAGTTTTCTACCGCAATATAATCGAGCTACCCTGTGCAGCGTCAAATAGGGTGCAGCAAAAGGTCAATCAGTTGCTTCGTAATTCAAAACGGCATCAATTTCACATACGATGGGTGCACAACAGATGGGACAATGTTGTAGACCCTTGGGGAGGGGATGGTAGGCGAGTGTATATGGAATATAATTTAGAATCAATTCCACAACACATGCTCCAGGAAGATTACACAATCTCTTCAGTTGTTACCGGAGGTATGCTGTCTATTGCCGAAGTTAAACCGACTGACAATGGCGTTTACGCATGTCTGGTTACGTTTTCCGATCAGAATTGGCGTCACGTGAACCTAGATGCTTCGATTGTGATCAGTGCCCATATCCTAAGGGTCAAATATCCTCATGTTGAGGGGAAGATGGGACACATTCTTGATCCGATGTACGCGTGGACCTGGAATTTTTACCACGAAGCCGATGCAGCATCGAGGGAATTCTCATGTTCGTTCTCCTTTACCTGATCTTAAAATGTTGGTTGTCTTATCATGACTTGGCTATAAGTAGTGCCGCCCATTGCCATTGTAAATCTAGGTTATCGCATACGCATTGCATTTTCTAATTTTATGCTCTATATATGAGATATATTCGCAAACTTTCGTTTAAGGTGATAAGGGACTATTAGTTGAAATTTCCCACAATCATATGAGGAGACTTTACGCTTACATTGAATTTTCCATAGACTTTCTTTCTCAAAGGATATTCTCATCTAGGCAGGAATGGACTTCAGTTTCGACCTCGCCTGGATCTCATAGTCACCTTCAGCGGGACACGAACCATGATCGTGTAGCGCATAATCTTGACACGTTAACCACAGAGCCACGAGTTTCATTTGGTCACAGGGCAAATGTAAATTTCTCTAAAACCTGCTTAGAAAACGAAAAAGGCTTTATACTTCACGTATATGCTTGGAAAAGCTAGCTATCTTAATTTGCATTGATTTCAGATTACTTTTGGCCGAAATTGAGTTATGATCTCTAATGATTATTCAGACAGTGGAGTTGGCTAAGTGACTATTTAAAGTGTCAACGGATTTGTTTAGTGCTCTAGGCTTACCACTCTTGGTAGTGCTTATGTATAATGAAAAAATGGCTTTCGGAATAGGATGAAGTGTAACAGCTTTTTAGGACAAGATAGGAGAGCTTGAGAAATCTACTCGATAACTGATGTCGCCATGCCGTTGGCTTTCGATATAAGTGCAATGAATGTATTGTGAAAAATCATTACGTGGGTTTATGATTATACATTGATGTATATGAGAGAAATGCAGGGCCAGTCACCATATCACCAAACCTCCTGCTAAAGTTTATGATTAAAGAAACTGGAATTATTCGAAAATGTGACCAATATAGAACAGATAGTGGTATGAAACCAAAAGTTTCGCAGGGTATGAAGAATTCACAGCCAATAAGAAACTTGGGATAAAGTGAAAAGAGTTTAGGAAATTGAATAGAATTTGGCCACTAGATAGAATTGGAAGGAGGCAGGATGAACTTTTAAGTTATATACCGAGGCGTAATTAGCCTGGAGTTTGGTTTTGACCTTAATGTTACCATAAACCCATGAACATTGCATAGACATAAAACCGCAACCACCAGATCAGAACATGCAGTATTATTAGCGAATCACAGTGTAGGATGTTCGGCCACTTGTATTAATCTACCTCATCTAATAACGTGTAAAACAAGGCGAGGCAAATTTACGAATCCTTTCCACAAAATTATTAATACGGACTGAATCCAAGATGAACACATAGTTCTTGTATCTTAATTTAAAGGGCCCGGAATCAAATCCCATTTATGATCCTGACGTTACTCAGAATGGGCAAAAATTGTAGTTCATTTTAGATCATAAAAGACTTGTGTGACAAGGTTCATGGTGCGATTGGTGGGCTAACTCGGGCTCTCATCAAACTACCCCCATAATGACAAAGTGAAATACGACTTTATTTCCTTCTTTAGTTCCTTAAATCAAGGGCAGTATCAACGGTGCTATCATTTCTGATTAGCATTAAACCTGCGCAACTAAGGTCTGTGGAACACGGAGTCAAAGACTTGCTTGGTACAAAATGAATCTCTCCGACAAATACAACTTTCTCATTAGAGAACTTCTGACTGGCAATAGGCAGGCTATGTAAACAGTTTTGGCCGTCAGTTCAATCAATAGAATTAAGTCTAGTCAACCAAGCAAGAGGCCAGATCATCTTAGTCTTCATATCTACGATCTAATACCACCTAGCTTCCAAATGATGTTTAAAAACCTATTATTTATTTGGTCCCATTCTCTCGCATTTGCGATTATTTGCAACATATATTGTTAGGGCATGCATATACATATATGTATATATACATATACATAAGTTAAAGCCATTGCCTTAGCCCAGTGGTTCCCAAACTTTTCCTAGTCGCGGCACCCTTTTTCAATTAAAATTCTTCCATGGCGCCCTACTCTAAGTATGACTATTCGTAAGAGATAAAAATAAATAAAACTCATGTGTCTTCATTATTCTTTTACTTTATTAACATCAAATTAATATTTAATAATTAATGTGATAAATGAGCCTGCAAATCACTGCACATTTTGTCAAATTAAGGCTTTCATAATATTTCGCGGCGCACAGTTTGGGAATCACTGCCTTAGACAATAATAGGTATTAGTCAGAAACGTAGAGGATAATTCGAAGTTGAATAGGCTCAGACATTCAGGTACTGTGATAAAATAATTAAATGGGCAAATATAGAGGCGCATCGTGGACGCGATTTATGTTATCATAATGATAGCATGAGGACCTATTTTATACAGCATATAGAAAAGATAAAGCGAGCTTGGCATTAAATGGGGATATTTTTGGCCAAAGAATGGACTAATGCGAAGCACCATGATTCTTCATTTTGTTTTATAGACAGGTTTTCGGATAATAACACCTTTTAGGTAAGCAAGGTTATGTGGAATTCAATAGGTCCATTCAAGATAAACTCATAGAATTGCAGGACTACCAGTCCCCTGTGACCTTAAACTAAATAGGG